TTTACTTTGATGCCTTTTGTTAGTAAGCTTTTCCTGAGTGATTTCATTTGTCAGCCACTGTCCTAGTATTGGGAATAAGGTGAGAGCAAAACTCAGTTATCTACTAAATTGTGTCTTCTGGGTCATGCTTTCTAAAGGACTGCCACCTTTTCACACAGAGTGCTTGGCCACATCTCACCCTTCCGCCACACAGCCCCTTAAGTATCACATCATCAGTGTGCACTCAGCTCTGTGTGCCTGTGTTCTGTGTTTTCAGCTCCTGGACAGGCCTGAATGTCTCTGACACAGTATGGACCATCTCAGACACAGGTTGGATAGTGAACATTTTAGCCTCGTTTCTGGAACCTTGGACATTGGGAGCATGCATATTTGTCTATCTTTTGCCGAAGTTTAATCCACAGACTGTTCTAAAGGTAAGAGAGGACTGCCCCCATTGGTTGATCAGTGTAAGCTCTGAGTTTACACACTCCAGATCGTGGCTGTTGGTTTCAATTCATAAAAGTTTTGCTAAATCCCAGCCACATGAATGAGCAGTGGACAACAGGAAGCAAGTTGGATGTTTGCACCCGTCTAACAAAGCTCATGGTCTAGGGAGAGAGATGGACACAGGCATTGATGAATGGCATGTGTTCAAGAGATGGGACTAGGTGGTTGTTCTATCAACTAAGAGACATTTCTTTTTTGGCACATCTCAGATAAAGGGATGAGAGGTGCTATCATCTCCCTTACACACCTGTGTGTATGCTTGCATGTGTGTCTGTGTATATGCATGTGTCTATGCATGAGTGTGTGTTGGTGTCCTGTTTCCTCCTTCATCTGCAGAGCAACCCAAGATGATAGTTAAAATGTATGGAATGCCACTATTTTAGTATACAGTTTAGAAAGAATTCAGTTGGGTGATACACTGCCTCAGTCAGCTTAGGCTACTCCCCAGGAATACCACAAACAGGGAGGCTCACACAGCAGATGCTGACCATGCTTCTAAACAATGGACTCAAGAAGGTCAAGGTATTGGAGGGGTCATCTGCTTAGTGATGAACCTCATGCTGGCTTGTAGGAGATCACCTTCTTGCTATAGTCTTAGTGGAGGGAGAAGTGGGGAGGTGGAGAGGGAAGGAGGGAGGGATGAAGTATGGAGGAGAGATAAAATCTGGTACTTTTCTTATGACACTACCTAATGTGCCATTGGCACACCTTTTTCCAGTACTTGGCACCATTCTCTCTAAATCAAATCACATGAGGTTAGAGATCCAGTCTATGGATCCATCCAGTATATGGAATGTATGGTTCATATCAGACACCCATGTAACCATCACCAGATGGAAGCATTAAATCTTTCCATAGCTGCAGAAGGTGCCCATATCTCCCCTGGCCATGCCCTCACTTCATAAGTTAATAACTCTCTTGACTTCTACCATCTTAAATTTTACCTCTTCTCTTATTTTTTGGTAAATCCTATGTAGGATGGATCATCTTTTGTGTCTGGCTTATTTCACTCAGCAAATTTTCTCTGTGAAGTTAACCCATATTTTTGCATGTGTATGAAGTTTGTTCTTTTTAATTGTATTCCATTCTAAGAATGTGTCACCATTTCTTTCCCATCATATTACAGGTGGGTATTTGGTTTATGTCCAGTTTGGTGAATTTACCTGGGAGGAATTCTAAAGAATAATAACATTGCTTTCCCTGTAGAGTCAGAGATAGTCATTAAACAAAGTTATATGCTGTAGCTGCTTCTTACTGCATGGTAACAAGCAATAAGTGTGCTTTCATTTTTATTGCAAAAATATACTACAGAATTGCACAGGGTCACTGGTTACACATACAAGAAACTGTTGTTTGATACTCATGTTCTTTTTTTTCTAGATCTTTGCTTAGATCACTATTCAGTTCTGCACAAAACAAATATAGTGAGGGAAAGAACATTGCATACCCTGTGGCTAACACGGACTCCTCCAGTTGTTTGAGACACTTAACCCTGTAGGGCTCAGGTCCATAAACAGGATCACAGTACATGCTATATGAGGTCATTGTGGGAACTTCAGGAAGAAACACAATGCAGAGTTAGCATTCAGTTCCAGGCCTTTCTTGGACACTGCTTTGGAAATGATGAGACATGATTTTAGCCACTTTTGACCACTACGGTTTCTCACAAATATTTTCATGGAAATAGCCTTTAGCAAACCTAGTTCCAGAAGGTCAAGGCACTGAGCCAAGATTGTATAACTCATTTGCTGCAGCATCTGGTGTAAGTGTCACAGCTCTAAGGGGAAAGGCTTCCCCTACGCAAGTGTTGCATCTCTGAAGGGAAAGGTATCCTGTCAGTCAGGAGCCAAGCAATACCATAAAGTCACACCACACAACAAACCTCATACATTGATTGGGAAGGAAAACCTCAAGAGGGTGGCTGTCTCTGCTTGGGTGAGAGGCAGCAGAGAACTGAGCAGAAGACAGGGTTTATATAGTTTCTTGGAGGATGGAAATTTTCAGGGTGGCCTGGGATTGGAGGGATTATGTGGCCTGATCTTGGGCAAACTCAGGGATTGGTGGGATTCTGTGGCCTGATCTTGAAGCTCAAGAATTTGTGGGATTTCTTGCTCAAGGATTGATGGGGTTTCATGCTAAGGGATTGGTGGGATTCTGTGGCCTGATCTTGGGACAGGCTCAGGTATTGATACTTTGTTTGGTTTTGGGATTTTTTTTCTTGGCCCCTGTCTTAGTTAGGGTTTCTATGGCTGTGATGAAATGCCATGACCAAAAAATCAAGTTGGGGAGGAAAGGATTTATTAGGCTTACACTTCAGCATTGCTTTTCATCATTGAAGGAAGTCAGGACAGGTCTCAAACAGGGCAGGAACCTGGAGGCAGGAGCTGATGCAGAGGCTGTGAAGGGGTGCTACTAACTGGCTTGCTTCCCCTGACTTAACTTGCTCAACTTGGTTTCTTACATAAGCCAGGACCAGCAGCCAGAGGTGGCACCACCTACTATGGGCTGGGCCCTCCCCCACTGATCACTAATTGAGAAAATGCCTTACAACTGGACTCATGGAGGCATTTCCTCAGATGACCCCTTACACTGATGACTCTAGCCTTTGTCAAGTTGATACACAAAACCACCTTGGAGTCAAGTCAGGGTCAGGTTGTTCTTTCTTGGCCCTGATCTTGGGCTTGGAGTCAAGTCAGAGTCAGCATGTTCTCTCCTTGGCCCTGATCTTGGGATAAAGTCAGGGCCAGGGCGTTCTTTCCCTGACCCTTTACCCTACATTAATCTATTCTCCTTGATAGTGGAGGCTTTACATATCCTTTGGTGTAGTGGGGGTGGGGTAACAAGAGTGAGTCTTAAACTGAGTGGGAAGAGCCAGCCAACCTTCAACAAAAGCATTCCAAATGAATCTTGGACCTCTTTCTGTCTGCATTCATTCCTCTGTTTTGTCTTGAGCATATGTGAGCATCATGAGGCTTGTTAAGTCTGAAACAAACACAACAGACAAACTAGGATTTCAGTCTGTGTCACTACAAATTGAGAAGTCGTGACTGTCATGACGATGTGTGCCTTGTGAGTTTGGCATCTGATCTAATGAGCAATGTCTTAGAAGGTTCTCTCCCTACAGGTGCTGTCCAGCTATCCCATCAACAGCCTAGTGGGTGCCCCCCTCATTTACCGGATGTTGCTACAACAGGATCTTTCCAGGTGATGGACACTTGGGGGATCAGAAGGAGCCTCTAAACCCATCCCTATGCCTATTTATCTGGACACAACTTAGCCTATATAAACACAGGGGCACCATCATAGCTCCCAGAACTCAGTCCCAAGCCTATGTAGGCTTCAGTTCCAATGAAGCTAAGAGAAAACAAACTCTCTTCTTTAGTTACAAGTTCCCACATCTGCATAGCTGCTTCACTGGAGGGGAAAGCCTTCTCCCGGAGACCCTGGAGAACTGGAAAGCCAAGACAGGACTGTATATCCGAGAATTCTACGGCCAGACAGAAACGGTATCTACTTCCTAGGGGACCATGGGCTAAGTGCTCCAGCCAGACTACAAATTCTGTTTCCTAATTGGGCTATTGTGAAGTAGTGTATCACTCTTTGAGTTGAGAAATACTTATTGAGCGTCTACTATGGGATCAAAGTGTCAATGTTCCCAATTTCATGGGCATTGGATTCTAGTGGGGTAGAAGGCAGAAAATCAAGAAAGTAGATGATGAAAAGAGCTATGAAAAAATAAAAAGGTAAAGAGGGATCAAAAGCTAGAGACATAATATGTTCTGTGTTGTTATAACATACTAACTGAGGCTAGGTGATTTATGAAGAAAAGTAGATACTTCGGCTCATAGTTTTGAAGCCTGGGAAATCTAAAATTGGATGTTGGCATCTGCTCATACCTTTGGTATCCCCATGCTGCTTCAACTCATGATGAAAAGTGGGTGGGAAAACAGACATGGGCCAAACAAACCAGGGGTAAACTTGCTTTGTAGAAACCTACTCTTGTGTGACTGACAGTCTGAAGAGAGCCACTACTCAGTCCCATCAGAAAGGTATTGTTTTATGCCCAAAGTCCAGATAACCAAAATACCACCATGAGTCTGATTCTGATACAAAAGCAAAGAGTCTTTATTGGGAGTTAACTAGAGCCTCCCAGTCAGTTCCCAGCAGCAGCAGAAACAGGAGAGGATTCCTGAGCACTGCTGGAAGGGGGGGGGGGGTATAATGGCCAGGCAAAGAGGGAAGGGATTGGGGAATTTCAAACCTGCTTAGCCACAGACCAGACCTCGAATTGACTGCTCCCTATGGAATGAGAATCTGCATGCTTCTGATTGGCCCCTCCCATTAGGAGGAAGAGTCCATGATGTCAGGGGTCAGAGAGAGGTCATCCCCCCAGATTAGAGGGAACTACTTCCCTGGCTAAAGTCAGGGAGTGGTCATACTGCCAAACTAGAGGGAACTACTTCCCTGCTAGGGATTGACTGGGTTTTCTGCTTGGGGATTGGTTGATTTTGTGTTTCAGTTGATCAGGGCAGAGATGGCTCTGATGTCAGTGCCAAACTGTATTTTTTTTCACTGGTGCTTTTTAGCCTTTTGGCTCTAATTTTAATGTTTCTTTAACTGGCTCTGATTCTAGGGGCAAGTGTGTTTCTTTGGTTCTGGGTTCAGAGTCAGGGTGCTCAGGGATTGTGTTATGGCTACAGATCTACTGGGGCCTGGTTCTCTCTGTTGATTCCTCTTATGACTTCAGGGGCTCTACCTTCAAACACCACTACCAAAACAACAAAACACAGCAACTGTTCATTCAGACAAGATGATCATGGAATTTCTGTGTGAATTTAGCAGAAAACTGAAACTCTCAGATATGTCAGACACAACACTCAGCTGCTCAGTGAAGCACAGGGAGCAGCCAGTGAAG